TTGTAAGGCGTCCTTGGGTGTCTTGAAAGGTGCCATGAATTATTTTTAAATTATTTTATTTATCACGTGTTTGTGTGTGCCATATATACACAAACATCTATACATTAAACCACAAAAACTGCACACTGTAGCTCCTGGATCGATAAATATACCCATATTTTCTGTTCCATCTTCTCATTCTTTGACAATAACGGTAGAGAACATAAATGTTGGAAGAACATGGACAAAAAGTAGGAATCTAGCATTTAGGGAAAGTTTTATAGCTCATCATTTGCACTTTTTTTTTTACTAAATGAAATCAGCTGCTTGGATTTAAGAAAAGAAAAACAAAACTGCATTTCAGGCCTGACGGATTGGTATTGTAAACTGCTGGGCTGAATATTGCTTACTTTGAATTATTATTTCTTGTGTGCAGGGTTCAAGGTTTAGCGCAGACTCATCAATTACAGCTGAAAAGTTAAAAGTGGGCTGTCCCTTCATATACAGAGACTAGAGGTGTAAGTCTGCATGTATACTGAGACAAGAGAGGTCTGAGCCTGCATGTATACTGAGACAAGAGAGGTCCGAGTCTGCATGTATACTGAGACAAGAGAGGTCTGAGCCTGCATGTATACTGAGACAAGAGAGGTCCGAGTCTGCATGTATACTGAGACAAGAGAGGTCTGAGTCTGCATGTATACTGAGACAAGAGAGGTCTGAGCCTGCATGTATACTGAGACAAGAGAGGTCTGAGTCTGCATGTATACTGAGACAAGAGAGGTCTGAGTCTGCATGTATACTGAGACAAGAGAGGTCTGAGTCTGCATGTATACTGAGACAAGAGAGGTCTGAGCCTGCATGTATACTGAGACAAGAGAGGTCTGAGTCTGCATGTATACTGAGACAAGAGAGGTCTGAGTCTGCATGTATACTGAGACTAGAGAGGTCTGAGTCTGCATGTATACTGAGACAAGAGAGGTCTGAGTCTGCATGTATACTGAGACAAGAGAGGTCTGAGACTGCATGTATACTGAGACAAGAGAGGTCTGAGTCTGCATGTATACTGAGACTTGTGGCGCTCGTCTCTTGTCTTCTGGTACAAAGGGTGTACTTCACCGCCCCCACACCCTTCCCACCTCTGGTCCACCTGAAGACCCCCCACACACCCCTCCTTCATCTTCAAAGAACTGCCAAGCTTTGCAAAACTTCGTGTCTGGGAAACTCTGATGGGGCCCACATTTTTGCAGAAAGTAGAGCAGCTCCGTCTTTTTTTTTTTTCCCACCAAACACGAACACTGACAAAAACTTGGAGTGAAGGCAGGTGGGGAGAAGAAGAGGGGGCCCTCGCGAGATCAAAAGACCGCGTGTTCCTGGCGAACGTGGCCAATCAGCCGACAGGGCCAGGCAAAGGAGGCGAGATGAGCGCTTTTCTTCCCCCCTTTTAAATTGATCCCACCGAGACCCTCAAGGTTCTCCCCTTTGCAGAAACAGCGCGATGAATCTGGCCCGCTGGATCTGACGACGGAACGAGGAGGAGAATAAAGGCGGTTTCTGAGGGAGGCGAGGTGAGGGAGGGAGAGGGGGAGGTAGAGAACAGAGAGCAGCGCATTGAGAGAGATCAAGAGAGAGAGCGAGGAGCAGACGAGTCCGGTGGGCTGCGGAGGCTGGAGAGCAAGGATCAAACAACACCTGCTATTACGGGACGCGTAAAATACTAAGTGACAGGTTACAACAATGTTCCTTGTCGAGAACTCTCTGCCCTTCTGTCCATATGCTCCGTTTTCAAACATGTTACACTGTGAATATGAATACGAGGTCATGGAAAAAGTGATGTTCCTAAACTTACACAGCAAAAAACAATGAAATATGAGGTAATAATTGCTTGAATCAAGGGTTTTTGTCTTGATTTGAGTTCATTCTGACAGTCCCATTTGAGAATCTTGTTTTAAAACAAAGCAATTTAATCGTATTTCAAGAACCGTTGTTTTATTTTCTCATTCCAAGGGAGACGGTACTTGTACCTTTTTAAAACAAGATAATTTAGCTTTGTCCTATTGGTAAATCTTGTTTTAAGGCTCAGTCAGAATGTGCTCTAATTGCAATCAATTTCTTTGTACAAATTAGAGCATTTTAAAAACGTTTTTCTTCACTTCTTGCTGTCTACTTTCAGATCTGCCTGATACAACTGCGCGCCATGTTAGCAGTTTATTAAATAAGACTAACATCCCAAAGTGAACACACATAATGCATCAGTTTTTTCTTTAAATGGAAAGTGGCTTTTAAGAGGTTCATCCAGGCAAATATCATGTTTATTCTTAAAATCTAGCTATGTCATATACCGATATTTCTCTAAATACATTTGCTTTAAAACATTTTAGGCAAGGCAAGTTTATTAGTGTAGCACTGTTCATACACAAGGACACTCAAAGTGCTGAACAAGACAAGACACAATCACACAAGACAATACAATCATAAATAGATACAGTACATTAGAAAGAGAAAAAGCTAAAATCTCTCAGTTGTAGCACAGTTAAATAGAAATGTTTTTAACCTGGATTTATACTTTGTTAGAGAAGAAGCCTGTCTCACATTTGACTGTTCCATATTTTCGCTGCATGAATATGAAATGCTGCCAGCCCATGTTTAGATCAGTTTTGAGATTTCAAAGGTTCAAAATATGGAATAATTATCCAAAGATAATCATGATCATATGATAGTGACCCCCATGCTGCCTGTGAGAGGTGCACATCCAGGATACTCCCTCTGACAGGGGGTTTACACTGGACCTCCCGCGTGAAACGTCCTGGTCCTGGCACTGGACGCTGTGTCGCTGGCCACAGATCACACTCTGGACGAGGCTGGTGTAATTCTCCACACTGTAGCGGTCCTCAAAGAAAGGGGGAGCTATCAGAGCGGCTCAGAGACCCCCGCGGCCTGCCAGAGCCCACCTGGACGCCAAGCACCCAGCCAAGGTTTGGAGACTCCCCCGAGAAGGCAAACACGGATTAAGGGCACGCGCGTGCATCTTCTGCCTCCCTGTTCCGGCAAGATAAAAGGAGAGATTTTCTGGACTCGTTAATTAAAGTGGGTCTCCTGGCTCAAACACAAGTTGCGTATAATTACTGGCCTGAAATAACACTGCAACAAGCTAACCAAGGCCATAAACTTCTGATCAGTTTGCTCTGAAGGTGGAAAAATATCACAAACCGGACATGTTCAGCTGTACGTCCATTAGTAAACACGATAATGAACTAGCTCCTAAAACATGAGCAATTCTCCTTCTGTACATCCATTTTCTCCACAGGTGTAAACCTTTTCAAACGTGCCATCAACCCAAAGTTTCCCCAGCGCATCTCTGTACGGCTGTTTGTACGGCAAGTTCTAGACCAGGTCTTGTAAAGGCTGACACTTGGAACTCTACCAGTATTTCTGATTGTAGTAGCTTGTTTAAATACATTTCAACAGGCATTTCTGTACAACAACGATAATACATTATACAATTGTTGTATGACTGAGTCTCTGAACTGTTGTTGGTCAATCATCATCTTTGTAAAGTCCTCAGAGACGACTGCTGTTGTAATTTAGGGCACAGACACAAACACATTGAATTGAATTGAATGGAGATGGGAGACCGGGCAGCACACACCAGCTGATGTTGGAGGTCTTCCCTGAGCTGCATTGATTGGAGCGTTCCGTTCCAGAGGACTCGCATGTTACAGCAGTGAGATTGAGCTACAAATCACACGTGCTGCAATGGTGAGCGGAGCAGAGGAACCGGTCTGTACGGTCTGAACAGCCGCCCGGTCTGGCACGCAGGCTGAAGATGATTTACATGTCTATATTAGCCATTTAAACCGTGAAGGAACAAAGGATTTATTGGTTAATTCAGTGCTTAGCCGCAGCAGACTACAGTAAACAGGCTGCTCGCGCTGATGGATCGTCGGCGTTGGCCATGAATAACTTAGAGCTTCATAAATAAGCAGATCTCTACTAATATCATTAAAGCAGCCCGAGGCCACAGCACTTCGTCTGTGACAAATGCCCTGAAATTGTGAGACCATTCAACATAAATATTTTGACATTTCATTCAGCTGACTCTCCCGACAAAGTCATTTATTTAATTAGCTGAAGAAGGATTGGCAGAGGGGGCCGATCCAAAGTTACGTGCCGGGGCCGCAGTTGCCACAGGTAACCTTTCGGGGGACTTAGCATGGCAAATTGATTGCTGAGAGCGCGGACTCATCACGGGTGCTAATTTTCACAAGCAGCGCACAGCGGAGTGGGGAAATAAGAGGCCCTATTTATAACAGCTGAGAAACGGGAGAGGGGGGATTAGCTTGTCATTAGAATAAAGAGCACAGGAGAAGAATCAATTTCAAGGTTTAAAAAGCTGACAAACACAGTTCAGTTATTCTCCGCTTCCTCCGGCTTTGGCTCCGGCGCTCGCAGGACCTCGCAGCCGACGTAAGCTGCTTTAGCTCCAGCTGCCGTCAGCCGCGAGCACAGCGTCATTAAACCAAAGATCCGTGCTAAATGTTGCCATCTTTAACAGGAGCAGCCTCTAACAACTCCAATCTTCTTATAAGCTGCAAACAAATAACACTTCTGCCTATTTAATACATAGGTCTACGCAAAGTTTTTACTGAGTTGATTATTCGATAGGGTTGCCTTTGCATTGGCCTTTGAGCCAGAGGGACGTAGGTTCGAGCCCGACTTTCACCATCGACTCCCACTGTCTGCTGCCGTTGTGTCCTTGGCAAGACACTTATCCTCTGGGAACACCAGCCACAGTGGGGCGGCTGCACTTTACCCCCATTGCCTAGAATATGAGTGGTGTGTGTGTGAATGGTTGGTCGGAGGGGCCGATGCCGCATACTGGTCGCCTTGCTTCTGTCAGTGTGCCCCAGGGCAGCTGTGGCTACAGTAGTAGTTTATCACAACTGTGTATGGAGTGAATGAATAATGACGTGAAGCGTCTGAGTGTCCAAAAAGCGCTATATAAAACCGATGCATTATTATTATTAGGCCTCAGTCTCGGTTCTTCCGGCCTCGGTTCTTCCGGCCTCGGTTCTTCCGGCCTCGGTTCTTCCGGCCTCGGTTCTTCCGGCCTCGGGTCTTCCGGCCTCGGTTCTTCCGGCCTCGGTTCTTCCGGCCTCGGTTCTTCCGGCCTCGGGTCTTCCGGCCTCGGTTCTTCCGGCCTCGGTTCTTCCGGCCTCGGTTCTTCCGGCCTCGGTTCTTCCGGCCTCGGTTCTTCCGGCCTCGGTTCTTCCGGCCTCGGTTCTTCCGGCCTCGGTTCTTCCGGCCTCGGTTCTTCCGGCCTCGGCTCTTCCGGCCTCGGCTCTTCCGGCCTCGGCTCTTCCGGCCTCGGCTCTTCCGGCCTCGGCTCTTCCGGCCTCGGCTCTTCCGGCCTCGGCCTCGTCCGCCTCGGCTCTTCCGGCCTCGGCTCTTCCGGCCTCGGCTCTTCCGGCCTCGGCTCTTCCGGCCTCGGCTCTTCCGGCCTCGGCTCTTCCGGCCTCGGCTCTTCCGGCCTCGGCTCTTCCGGCTCGCTCTTCCGGCCTCGGCTCTTCCGGCCTCGGCTCTTCCGGCTCGGCTCTTCCGGCCTCGGCTCTTCCGGCCTCGGCTCTTCCGGCCTCGGCTCTTCCGGCCTCGGCTCTTCCGGCCTCGGCTCTTCCGGCCTCGGCTCTTCCGGCCTCGGCTCTTCCGGCCTCGGCTCTTCCGGCCTCGGCTCTTCCGGCCTCGGCTCTTCCGGCCTCGGCTCGCCGCCTCGCTCTTCCGGCCTCGGCTCTTCGCCGGCTCTTCGGCCTCTTCCGGCCTCGGCTCTTCCGGCCTCGGCTCTTCCGGCCTCGGCTCTTCCGGCCTCGGCTCTTCCGGCCTCGGCTCTTCCGGCCTCGGCTCTTCGCTCGGCTCTTCCGGCCTCGGCTCTTCCGGCCTCGGTTCTTCCGGCCTCGGTTCTTCCGGCCTCGGTTCTTCCGGCCTCGGTTCTTCCGGCCTCGGTTCTTCCGGCCTCGGTTCTTCCGGCCTCGGTTCTTCCGGCCTCGGTTCTTCCGGCCTCGGTTCTTCCGGCCTCGGTTCTTCCGGCCTCGGTTCTTCCGGCCTCGGTTCTACGGCCCCGGTCCTGGATCTACGGCCCCGGTCCTGGATCTACGGCCCCGGTCCTGGATCTACGGCCCCGGTCCTGGATCTACGGCCCCGGTCCTGGATCTACGGCCCCGGTCCTGGATCTACGGCCCCGGTCCTGGATCTACGGCCCCGGTCCTGGATCTACGGCCCCAGTCCTGGATCTACGGCCCCAGTCCTGGATCTACGGCCCCAGTCCTGGATTTTACATATTCTGTCAGTCTCTTAAATTACAGTAGTCACCAATTATAGAATTAGGAATGTCTATGGAACTTCAGCCAAAATCTTTATATCCCTTGTGGTCACTTAGTAAGGAGCTTGCAGACAAACATGGAGGCTCTTTTAGATCCAACTTGTAAGTAAAGAGAATATTATTTAATCTTTCAAAACATGGTAAGCCAACGAACCGAGCGCTCTTCAGCTCCAGCGGTTTCAAAGACTCCAGGCTTTGACCAGATTTATTGGTCAGCTCTGTCTGATGTAAACACCAGGATGAGTGTCATTCCCCAACCTGAGCCAGGTGTGGTTCTAACCAAACCCACAGCGCACCGTCAAGGCTGTTTGAGTGAGTTTTTCCCCTCTTAAAAAGCCACAAACCACAAGGCATGGACCGTTTAGAGCTTTAGGCCTGAGATTTTCCATTGGAGCTCCAATCCACACAGAGTTCATAATATGAGAGCTATACAATATAACTGGAGGCACTCGTGTCTAAATCTAACAATAGTAAAGATAATTCAATGTCCTGGAACAAACCGTTCCACAAACCCCGTGCTCCTTTATGGACGGTTGCTCTTTCTGACATGCTTCACAACTACTATTCCAGCAGAGAACACAGCAGCAGAGGATCCACTGGTTTATGTTAAAACTCTCCGGAAAACAGAAACAACACAGCCGGCTTCATCACTGCTGGTGTAAGTGAATAAGGTAGAATCACATGCTGCTAATTCTCCTGGTGGAAGCTTCCTGTGACAGGCCACTGATGCTAACATGTCTTTAACATTCACTACAGGGGTTAGTGAGAGTATGGCCTCCCCTCCGTTCAGAACAGAGCTGCAGAGCCTGGGAATGATTAGGCCTGGGAGGCCCATTAGCAGGAGCATCATTGTGCTAAAAATATAACGTTTGGCCGACTCTACGCTGGGTCATATCCATGCTGCAGCCCCCGTACAGTGTGAGCTCATTGTGAGCGAGGCCTTGGCTGAGTCAGAGCACGAGCTGTGATCAGCTGTCCCACAGGAAGTGAGGGGCTGTGGGGGGAGCACGTGTTACTTCCACAGCCAACACTGGGACAGGAACTTAACACACATCTAAAGCAGGTTAATGTGACGCTCTGACACCCAGCTGTCAATCACACCAAGTGAAGTTGTCTCATTATTGTGACAGGGGGACTCCATGGCACGCAGCCATACAAAGAGCTTGGCCCAAAGCCATGCTCTCATGTGCTGCCATGTAATCAGCCTAAAAGAATTATTTAAGTATGGATGACATGGCATGTCGTATTAATTAAATAACTTGTATCTTTAATTTCAGAGTGGCTTGGATCTCTTTGAATATGTTTAGCTCCTAGAGATTTCTCTGAGACTTTTTGTGCCATTATGTAAAAAATGAGCTGGTCAAAGCAAAGGTATCCACTGAGCATCTATATTTGTCTTGGTATAAAACCATGTGAACCAAAAGACATCTCCATCTTCTGTCCTTTTCTTCACTGCCTTTGACCTGCTTTCCAGAAGATCCTTGGCTTTATCTTAGAAGAGCAGATTTTACTTTTACGCTCTGTAGCAGCACCCACATCCTCCGTTATATTATTTCAGTATACTACAACATTTATGCACAGGATAAATGAGTATTTTTTACAAAAATATGTTGTTGTTTCTACTAAATTACGGCATCAAATGATTCCTGGATTCACTTAGTTTACAGCGTTTACAATCCAGAATATTGTTTAATTGGCAAAATTGTGACGATTCAATATTTTGCGGTATTGAACAAAATCGATATTTCCCAAACCACTAATACAAACTGTTCCGGAATAGAACAGAACTGGTTCCCAAACACTTGAGTGACAAGCTGAACTCACCCAGGCCCTTCACCCCACCAGTCTACAGAGTTTATTTGATCTCCACCACTGTAAAACTATGTGTGAGCTTTTTTGGGAATGCCTTCAGGGAAAAGCACTCTTTCCCACAACCGCAGCCCGAGCAGATCTCACAGAGAGAGAGAGCGAGCGCATGTTTTCCAGGCCGGCCCCTCCCACCACCGCCGCCTGCACCCACACGCTCACCTGGGACGCCTCGGTCAAACTGAGGGGTTACCGGAGCCTGGGAACGTTTAGCATCCACAGGGCACCGAGAAGTCAGCCGGCGCACAGGGACCGGACAGGAAGCAGGCGCGTAACCCCTTCCTGTCTGAAAGGAAAGACGGAGGGAAGCGCTTTGAGGAGATATACCTCTGCTGCACCCAGACTGATCACGGGGTCTTAAACAGGAGCATCCAAGTCAAGAGCAGAGGGGACGGTTAGCCCACCAGCTGCTGTGGGACACGAGATGAAAGAGGAAAACAACCAGCCTCTCTATCCAATATATAAGTTCATACATGCTACAAAAAAATTGCGGACGATAGGTGAGTGGTTAGCCAAGAAGACCCTGGGTATAAATCCCGGTCGTAACAGGGCCTATCAGAGTGGAGTTTGCATGTTTTCCCCGTGTCTGCGTAGGTTTCCTCTGGGTGCTCCGGTTTCTCCTACCACTAAAAACATGCACAATAGGTATGAATCTAATGAGTGAGTGAATAGATGGTGTTGGGTCTGAGGCTTTGATGGACCAGTGTGTTCGGCGTCTCGCTTCAGTCATCACGTTGAGTGTATGAAACGATATCTGAACATTATGAACTTTGGTTTGTAATAATGTGCTATATAAATAAAGATTACTTACAGGAGATGAAAGCAGAAAACTACCAGCATCCAATGTAAAAGACATGCTAATGGGCTGTCCCTCTGTGGCACTGGGAGGTTTTGTACTTGTTTTGCTCTAAACCCTCTGCTCTGAGAAACAGGCCCGACACCCACAAAATCTGTGTGTAGTTGTGGAAGGACGACAAAAGCATTTAAACAATCAAAATAGTAAAACAATCACATAGGTGGGAATTTAAAACATGTCTCTTCCACAAATATCTGTTTTTGATTGTGTCACAAAAATATTCATATATGATGCTAATGTATCTGTTGTGTGACTCCATGGACATACCCAAATTTAAAGCCCAGAACCTGAATCCAGTCAACACAATTTTACAGTCCCTGGACAAGTCTGGTCTACAAAACTGACTATAAGTAGTTTGGACACCCCTGGTCAGCCCACCTAAAGATGACAAGACACTAGTGGTGGGGACTGGCAAAAATGTGTCGATGTGTCGTTCATAAGGGGATATTTGGGCCATAATTAATTATTGTGATTTTTAACATCGTCGCTCATATTATTCAAAGGCATTACAAAAACTGAGGAAAATAACACTGCTCAACTCAAAAGTCAAACTGAGGAGCAAAAACTTAGGAGGGTAGTGCAAAGACGTTATCCTTGAACATTCAGGACACACAAATGACCCGATTACAGGACAGACATAATTATTCTGTGACTAGAATCACAAAAAGCAGACATCATAAAGTCAAAACAAGCAGACGTCATAGAGTCACATAGACTTCAGATGTAAACTACCAGAGTAAACTCGGAAGACACAGAAGTGAAACAGATAATTTAATAAAACATCACAATACTTGTCTACTGTGTAAGGGATAACGTATATTACGCAGGTCATTATCGGAAAATAAGTGCCTTCAGGGCGGAAGCAGACCCCGACGCAGCGTTGGGATCCGCTTCCGCCCTGAAGGCACTTATTTTCCGATAATGACCTGCGTACTATACGTTATCCCGCTTATTATACGGCTTTATACCAACAGAACACACAACATAAACTTCAGTCCACTTTTAGGAATGCCGAAAGGTTTATCTAAAATAAGAAAGAAAATAAAATAGTTCCCAAAGGCTTTCCCGTGGCTATGCTAGCAACAGTTAGCCTATCAACTTCCAAACTAGAACTCTCTGGAACTGCATGAAAACTGAACAAAGAATCCTGAACATCAGCGGTGAGTGACCCAAACATAAACCTGACCTAAATCCATACTTCGATCCTCTGAAAATGTGTCCTAAAATGTGCCGGTTTTTCGGGATCGCCTTTTCTCGCAGTATCAGTGTTTTTGTCATGAAAACGTAAACGGAAAATTCTGAAAACTTCCGTGCACTTGTATTAAGAATGTATATGTATAATGTATTCTCCGATTAACATTTCATTGCGTTGATTGATTGGTATTAGTTTAATGACCATGGCTAGCTCCGGAGTGGCTGGAACTACTTCCGGGTTTTTCATGATCAGACAAGAGCAGTAAATTCTGAAAATCTCCGTTCACGTGTGTGAAGAATGTATATGTACAAGTGTTCTGCGATTAACATTTAAGTGTGTTGATTGATTGGCATTTGCGTTTATTGAGCATGGCTAGCTCCGGAGTGGCCGGAACTACTTGCAGAATTATCCACGATTCTGCCAAAGGGCAGCGGTCATTATTGTTTTGAGAGGTCCGTTATAAAAAATAATGACCGGTAGAACGTTTAAAAACTGCTGCTGTGAGGAGCCGTATAATAAATCCATTTAATTGCGTTTGCAAAATATTGCGATACTGACCAGAATTGATTATTCCCCGTTACAAGACACACAAGCGTTTAACCCTCACTATCCAAAAATCACTCATTTAACAATCTCTTCACACAACTTAGCTTTCATTTTCTCTTTCAACGCATTTTCTTTGAGTGAGAAACCAGAAAGTGGAATAAAAAATTTAAAAAAGTCTTTCAGCCGTATTTCCACAACACGCTTCCAGATCACTTTTCAGCAGAGACGTCCAAAGTCAACACGGAGACCACCTACGCACTACCTGCCGCGCCGCCGTGACCTCAGCCCTGAAGAACGACCACGAGCTTCACCGTGGCGTCTGCACAGTGTTCGTCCATCCATCATGTGAAGAGTGAGATAACCGTATAGATGCCACGACACGGAACAATCTGCGTGGATTACAGTGTCTTTGTGGGGACATTATTTATTGTAATTTAAATTTGCAAGTTGTGATATGTGTCCGTTCTGATGGCGGCGTGTCTAACAATGGATATGAACGTGTGTCGTCAGGTTCGATGGTGTAACGGAGAAGAGCAGCGGCCCCCAACCTTTAGAGCCAAGGACCAGTGTAACGACTGACATTTTCAGTTTTTTCAGCTCAAATCCTTTTTTGCCACAACATTTTGATACAGCTCTGATTGTATAGACGCTGCTCCCTCTTCACTAGAACAGTCTCATAAAGCTCTGACTGCAGACACTGCTCCCTTACACGCTGCACCGATCAGTCTTTCAGTGTCACGCTCCATACTTCCCTCACTGAGAACAAGATCTGAGACTTTAACTACTCTACTTGAAGACAATCCTCAACCTCCCGTTTATTGATGGTCTAAGTTTTTTTTAGAGCTTTTTATAAGACAAGGCAAGATTATTTGTATAGCACTGTTCATACAAAAAGGCGACTCAAAGATAAAAACACTCACACAAGGCATTAAAATCATAAATAATATGTAAAAATACAATCCATGAGTTGTAGCACGGCTAAACAGTACTGTTTTTAACCTGGATTTGAACATTGTCAGAGTAGAAGCCTGTTTGATGCTGGGCAGATCAGATTCGACTCGCCCCTTTGTGAGCTCTGGTTCATTTCTTGTTGATACATTTATTTCAGTCGGCTGTTGACCACAGCTCGTCCTGTGCGTGCTCCTGTTCAGGGGACACCTGTGCGGTCCCCGCTCCTACAGTCATTATGGCTCGAGTTCAAATCCATTTATGCTCTTGTCTAAACATAAAATAGGACTATAAAAAGGTTTGATATCTATGCAGCTATAATCTGGAATGACAATGTTCACATCCATGTTGAACACAGTATGAGCATTTGTGTTGCCTTGTGTATGAACTGTCCTATACAAATAAACTTGCCCTGCTTTTTTTTGTTCTAGTTCAAATGGAAGGATAGTTCAGTCACAGATGGCTGATCGACAGCTTGGGGCGAGGACCCAGATCCTCTCCCATTTGTAAATAATACATATTTATTGTAAACTTGTGGGGTTCTGGAACAAGATGATCCATGGAGGTTGGGACTATAAGTATATAGCAGTCAAATATGTCCTCATCACTTAGAGCAGAGTGCATCCGCTTACAGTGCAGGTGGGCGAGTTAGCCAACGCCGGTGAAAGGCGGTGATAAACGGGGTTTTTGATGGCCCACTTGTGTAATGAGTAGTGCCGCTGTTTTTCCTTGCCGCTGCAGTTTGGGATCTTAATGATGTTATTAATTAGCAGCGTTCACATGGATTTCTCACCGCCGGGCTGAGGGCTTCTGTGCTCTGGCAGTGGTGACGCCTGACCCTGATTTGTGAGCTACCTCCCAGAGTCAGCACAGAGAGTAGGGGAAGCGTGCCAGAGGTGCGGATGGAGTCGTAACCAGTATAGAGCTACACCATGGGGCTGGGTTATATATACGTATATTCATATTTACCATATATCCTTATAGTATTAAGGTTGATTTCATGTTTGGCACATTATATACTGTAAGTGCGCTCGCCTGTTCTCTCTGTGGTTCTTAGCACGACATTAGCAGTTGTGGCTACTAACACAAAGGCACAAGATATATATAAAGAAATGATACCGATAACTATTAGTTTCCTATGTCAAACAGAAAAAGTTACTTCCTGAAGCCTGTTTTTTTTTCAATAGTTAGCTACGTGTCCAAAGTAATTTTCATAATTGAATACAAAGCTTATGATGCCAGAGACGGCTTGTCCTCTGTAGGGCACGTCAACTTCTATCTGAGAGACGGGCGCAGCATCTTTAGTGGAAAATCTCAGTCCTGACAGTCCTTTATTCATCTTTCCTGTGGCTCAGAGAATAGCAGCTGAGCTTTAAAGTCTAAAGTCCAAAGTACATCTGTGACATGTTAGTGCCATATGAACCAATGAAGACTCTGGGGAGCACAGGGACTGGCCTCCTGCTAGAGCCCAGAGTCGGAACTAAACATGGGGATGCAGCGTTTCAGATTTATGCAAGTAAAATCCTGAACATGTGAGACGGGCTTCTTCTCTGACTATATTCAAATCCAGGTTGTAAACTGTTGTGTTTAGCTGCAACAAACTGAAGGATTGAATATCACTCTTTGAATGTAATGTAATTATTCATTTGAATCTGGTTTTGTTAGGCACTTGTAGAAACTGTGCTATACAACAAACATGCCTAAAACTAAATGAGATGAAATTACTGAGGTCCTGATGCGAGTCAAGTCGACGGTCCTCATTATATATTTAGTTAAAAACACTACACACTGACATGTTTGTGATAGAAGTCAAATG